AAACACTCACTTCTGTCTGGTTGGTTCTGACCCATAGAGACCCTACAGCACAGGGGAGAGCTGGCCCTGGGGGTTTCCGAGACTCACTCTGTGTGAGACCAGACAGTCTTGTAGTCCCACCTGTAGCCACCAGGACTGAGGTGAGGCAGCTCCAAATGTCTGTGCAAACAGGTGGTGGCCTTTGAATTCCCTTTCTTGCAGACTTTTTGAAGCCCCTTCCTCAACTGTGTTCCAGTCCTAAGCAGCTGTTCAGTCAGCTCCATTTTCATGGGGACCCCCCCACATCAGTCTGCTCCTGCATCATCCCACTGACCAGCCGTGGGAATCATCAGTTTTCACCGGCTGACTTCCAGAGCTAGATCACCAGCCCTTTCTTCCTGGTCTAGCTTTTCCTGGAAGCCTTGCTGGTACCTGCTTCCCATCCTAGCAGCACACAGTCTCCTCTGACTGACAGGCGGTGGCTGCATGTGAGGTGCACTGGCCTAGAGACCTCTCTGGGTTCCCACATGGAAGGGGAAAATCCTATCGTGGGGGAGAGAGTGGGGGAGGACACATGGCACTGTGCACCCACGTCCCTTCCACGGCGCCTTTACTTGTTAGAGTAGCCTCACTGATGAGCTGCCTCATTACTGAACCACCCAATAAACTTAAGAAAACCACTTCACTTAAATGCTTTGGAAAGCCCTCTTTTTATAGCCACTACTTACAGAAATCACCTGCTATGTCATGTGTGTGCGTGCGTGCGTGTGCGTGTGTGTGTGTGTGTGTGTGTGTGGCACAGGTATGTGCAACAAAGCCTTGCCACTGAGCTGTTCCACAGATGCACACGTCAGTAATGCTCTTTGCGCTCCTGATGCTGTGCTGCCATCACCATTTGTCCCTTACAGACTCTTCCATCACTGGCCTGGGCAACAGACAATAAGGGGAAGGTAAGCAGAAAATGACCGGGGCAGAGAAAGACGCCGGGTGGCATACCCGAGTTAGAGGTCACAGAGGTGCCAACTGTTGCCCACGTGAGCCTGCAATGACTCCGGCAGCAGCAGTGACCTACGTGGGGACGTACGGATAAACCTGCAAGGTGAAAGGGGAGGCGGGGTGGGGATGTGATGATGCCCATGGATAAATACAGGCTTGTCAAGGAGAGTTGTGACAATGTAGTTATAAGTTCA